GGCTCGGGCCAAGCAGTGTTCCCCTGAAGGAAAGGGAGGGTGAAGCAGCTGTCCATCACGTGTGGCCTCTGGTCATTCACAACTGCTCCAGCCCCCAGGGACTGGGAGGGGGGAACGATGTGACGTTTGTTTCTAAGAAGGGCTAGAGGGGAACTTCAGAGAAAAGCTGACTGCTGGATCTGCTGTGTGTCCTGAGTGTCTGTGCAGGGCAGCGTCTGTGGGCAAGGGAAGCTCCTGCCAAAGGGCCCCCAAGATTGGAGCAACACTTCATAGGGACTCTGGGCTCATAGTGCCCATGCTGCTTCCCAAAAAGAATGCCAGCCAGCTTTCAGCCCCATTTTTAAGGGAACTTGCTGGTCAAGAGAGGAGGTCCTTACATGGCTCTGTAATTAGTATGAAAACAGGAAGGACAGTGTAGGAGTCAGCAGTCAATTTTTGCAGTAAAAGGAGATCTCTGCATCGGTCCCATGTTTTTTCAACACGCTCGTGACCTGAAAAAGGGAATGAGCAATGAGATGTCAGGGCTTTGATGAGGTGATTGGATTACTCAGGTTCATGGGGACAAGTGCCAGCTAGGAAAGAGTACTGACAACAATTACAACACCAGGCAGTAGGCAGATGAAATTCGGTATAGATAAATATCAAGTGATAGACGAGGGAGGGAGAGAAAAGGCCCCAAATCCACAAACAAGACTGTGCTCTCAGCTGGCCACTCGCAGCAAGGCCTGGAGCTATTTCAGATGGCTTGGTGTGCGCAAAAACACAAATCGAATCATCTTTGTGAATGATAAAGCAGAAAGAAAGCAGGAAAGCCTTGTGCCACTCTTCAAATTGGTGTCTCACCCCTGCACAGTCCCTGTGTGCCCTGGCACCAGCATCTCTGGAAGAGTCGAGGGGAGCTGGGGAAAGTTTAGAGAAAAGCAACAAGGAGGACTGAAGGCGTGGAGCCATGCCTGAATGACTAAGTGAGCTAGAATTTCTGTTTGGAAAATGTGCTGTTGGGTGGATACAATCCAGGTCTGTAAAGCCGCCACTCCAATGTTCATCCACCCTTTGATGTCGAGGGTGAGGGAGCCTTGGCTGAGGCCCTGTGTCCAAGGGGAGCTGCTGCCCCCTCTCAGAAGCTCCCGAGTTAAAGGGGGAAGTCGTATTTCACAGAAGCGAAACCCGCCATGGACTGCAATGCATGTGAACGGCATGTCCCTTGCAGCTTGGAGGCTGGGGAACAGTTGGGGAGTAGGGATATGAGTGTGCCACTTTTACCTTTTCCTGGCATCTGCTTTTTCCTTTGATGGAGACCAGCCTTTGAGCCAGATCAGCCTCTGCTTTGACCCCCGGTACCTGCCTGCCCTTATTTTGGGAGGGTTTGCCTTTATCTCAGCACCGCGGTAATGGTGCACAACTGCACACACTCATACTTCTTGTGAAATACAAGCGTGTGCCTCACAGCTGGTGGCTGAAGGTGGAGGTGGGCAGGACGCTGCCCAGAAGGCTGGTTCCCTGGACCCCTGACACAAGGTAGGAGGATCCGTGGGCAGCGTGGTCAGAGTTCAGGCACACACTTGAAATCTCATTAAATGGGCAGTCTTGGAGTGTTTCCCATCCTCCAGCAGCATGATGGGCATCAGAACTTCATGTGATTTACATCCCTGTGCAGGGTTGTTCTGTCCCTACAGGTAAACTTTGATGGGCCTCCAGATCACCCTTCCTGACGGGAGGACTTCAGTGTGCCCAGTGGACAGGCAGACGTAGGGGATGGGGTGTAGGTTGGTGAGGCAACTGGCCCTGTCCCATCTTGGACGTATTTGGAGGAAGTACTGACCTTATGCCTGCAAAGTGATCCCCATACAAGTGGTGTCAGGAGGACATGAGGTGCTTGCCACTGAGTCTGCTGGCAACCTCTTGGCTAGGGACAACAAGGACACTGCTACACTTGGTGTTGTGTAAAGGGCTTTTCTTGAAAGAGCTGGTGTTTCTGGATATAAACCCATAGCATGCCTACATGGCACCATGGAACTGCTCTGGAGTGGGAAGCCAAGCATGCACTGTGCTTGCCTTCAGTGAAGGCATCAGGAGCATGGGAAAAGGCACTGCATGGAAAGGGAGAGATGGGGAAGTGTCTGAAGCCAGCTGACAAATGTCTCCCTGCAGGTGTGGCTGTCCTGCAGTGCGGGTTTTTCCACAGAGGTTAGGCAATTTTGGTGACAGCTGGCCCTGCTGTCAGCTCCCAGGGCTTGGCTGGCAGTGGGACTGTGTGTGGCCCAATACCACAGGCGTCACTTAGCATCTGCCATGGCCTTTGCATGGCATGAATTGGCAATTAAGATTGTGCCATCTCTTTTTTGTACCTACTCAGAGGTGCGAGCCTGTGATTTGTTAAAGACACTCCTTGTGATCTTGCTCCTTCCGCTTACACATCACTTTTGTGGGGATAAGACAGACTGCTCTGTGCCCAGGATCAAAAGAGATGTCCTTATGCCAAGGCCCCACATCGCTCCTCCTTTTTCCTGTCCCTTAGGATGTGCAGCCACCAAGCTGGTGGCTCAGCTAAACACCAACAGACTCCTCTGGGAGGTGGTTAGAGCTGTGCTGCGCCGGCTGGAGAGTTGGCATCTATTCCCATGTCCCATAGGGTAGGGCTGCTCCCCCCCCCCATGGGAGCAGGGCTGCCACCTGTTGCTGGTGTTGGTTCATGTGACCTTTTCTGTTTTAGGGTTGTTTGTAACAGCCAGCGGCTGGAAGTGTTTCCTGCTGTAATGACTGCTGACCCGTGAACCCTTTGGCAGGCACTGTCTCTTTGTGGAAAAAATTAGGAGGCACTTAGCAAAGTGAGATAGAAAACAAACATAGCAGGCAGGAGAGTGCGGCTGGGCAGTGCCTGCCAAGGAGGCTGGGCTCCTGACATGGGGATGTGGGCACTCTCCAGGCGGAAGCAGGAGGCGGTGGGAAAGCAGCATGTGGGAATGCTCTGCCCCAGCACCCTCCAGAGTCCTACTCTGGTCCCCCCCCCCACCTCCTCAACGCCCCCAGCTCCTGCCATCTCTTCCATGGCACTCTTCCCTTCCTCCCTTCCCTGGACGCCTGGGCAGTGTGTGGTACCACACACTTGGGCTGTGTGCCAGCTGTGGTACCTGATACCTCTTCTCCTCTTCCACGGATGCCACTAGACCCATAGGGCTCCAGCCCGTGTGACTTGAGCCAGGACCTGACATTCTAAGAACAGGGGAGTGTGGAAGCAGGGGAACACGCTGCCTTCAAATACTCTGAACACGGGGCTTGCGCTGTCTCTGTCCTCTCTCCCCAGGTATGTCTGTGGGGTCAGTCCCTGTCCCTGTTTCCTGGGACACTGATGTGACCTGGTGGGGGCTGGAAGAGGGGCAAGGGGCTTGTACAGGCAAGGAGCAGCATGTTGAGGGCTTGCTGGGAACCAGCTGGGGGAGCTGGGGTTCTTCTGCCTCTTTTGGGTTGAGATCTGTTTGCTTGGAGACAAGCAGTGGCCCTGGTAGGGTTTCCATGTGCGATGTGGTAGCAGTTTTGCTTGCAGATTCCTCTGCTAATCCCGGGCTAGGGCTTGGGGTGTCTCTTCCCCAGAGGCACTGGCAGGCTGCCGCGAGGGGATTTTGGGATGTTTTCTCTGGAAGCCCGGATGGCTCACAAGGGCAAGGCAGGAGCTGTCATGCTCCCAAGCTGTCTGCATGAGAAGGGAGGGGAGTGGTGCTGCAGATGGCTCTGACATCAACAGGGTGGCACCTGTCGGGTTGGCAGGGCTCTCAATCCTGTGCAGGCGTACTGTCGTCCTGCTCTGGCTTTCCCAAGCAGCCAAGGGGCTTCCCAAATGCCTCTCCACATCCTGCCGGCTATGTTTTGGCTCCATCCTAGCTCAGGCTCCCCAGCCTGCAGGACCGCACCGCGGGAGGAGGCGATCTGTCTCCAGTACCACACGGGCACCTGTGCCAGGGGACGGGCTGCGCTGCCTTCAGCGCATGCAGGGGCTGGCACGAACTACAGATCCCAGCATGCTGCTGGCTGCCTGCCTCCTCCTCCGCCCCACCTGGCAGGGCGCAGGCAGGGATGCTGCGGGCGGCGGCAGAGCAGGCGGCCGGCGGGCATGTCCCGGGAGGGCCGGGGACACAGCACCGGCAGCCCCACTGCAGGTGAAGCCCTGGGAGAAGTGCTGGAGCACCCCATGCGGCGCAGCCCGGACTGGAAAAGAACAAGGCAGGCCTGCGGCTTCTCCAGGGCGGTTAATCCTGCTTTGCCCTGGGAAAGGCGGGTCTAGGGAGGGAAGGTCCCTTCTCTGGGCTCCGGAGACTGCATCTCTGGGGTTGTTTGCCGGGAGAGTGATGCCTGAGCGGTGCAGGGGCTCGGCAGGTGGTGATGGTGATGGGAAAAAGGAGTGGTGGGTGCCTGGGAGGGGACAGCAGTGCCAGGAACACCCTTGGCTTTTCAAGGTGACCCAGGAAAGGGCTGTGAGAGCCCCAGGGAAGTGGAATTGAATGGAAATGGGGGATTTGCGTGGTTCTGGACTGAGAGGCTGCTGAATTAAATGTGTCTTTTGTGCTGCCAAGCCCCAGGCATTGGAGGGAGGTGAGGAGGGCAGGGCAGGGGGGGGCAGACACAGCCCACTGCGCACATGCTTCACTCACAGCTCCAGGATTGGGGACACAGAGCTGCAGGCTCACAAATCCTTTAAGAGCCTGCTGTGAGCAGCCGGCATGAGCAGCCTGGGCACCTCAGGAAAGCAGTTTCCTTTTGGAGGGAAGGCTTGATGTGCCCAGCCAGCAGACTAAGGCTATGTATCACAGCCCCTTGGCTGAAGGACTCTGAGCCACAGGTTTCCAAAACTCCTGTGCTGTGCTCTCATCATTTGCTAGGTTGGTGTTTGGCTCCCAGTACTGTGGAGCACTTAGCTGGCAAGATGGATTGGGGTTAAAACCAGTACTGCCCCTACCTGGCTTGTGTCCCTCACTCTCCCATAAAATCTTCTGTTTGCTTTCCAGACGGAGAGCAGCAACAAGACTTGCTGGGACCTGTGCTGACTCTTGCCACACAAGATGACAGCAAGGGACGGGCCCCAAGATAGGTAATGCCGGGTTCTGATGTAAGGTGTGGGGGCACATCCAGGATACTAGGAGGCGAGGGAGGACAAGGAGACCCAGCATCTGGGGGGACGACCACTCCTGCATGCTCACTGGGCTACCAAACTGTCCCTTCTCTCTCAGCTTTTCCGTAGCAAATAGCCTGTAAACAGTCCCTTGTGCCGGGACACGCCTGGGGAGCCTGACTCCCTCCCACATCTGGTGACGTCTGCTGTGTATCTGGGTGCCACATGCTAAGGAGCAGCCAGCCTCCCTCTGCCTTTGTACCATGTTGGGAAGGGCCTCCCACAGCCCCTCTGCAGTGCTACATCTCCTCCAGCAGCCCAGGCTAGCAGGAGCTGTGGGGCAGGGGAATAAATATCATCCTCCCTCCTCCTCCTGATGACTCCCGCTGTGGGGCTAGGGACAGTCAGAAGCGATGCCTGTCCACTACCCTGCCCAGCATTTCCCTCCAAACTGCTCTGTCCCCTCCACAGGTACAAGGCTGTCTGGCTGATCTTCTTCATCCTCGGCCTGGGAACACTGCTGCCATGGAATTTCTTTATGACCGCCAGGGAGGTGAGGGCTTCCCTCTGTTGTCCATGATACTAATTGTCCCCTGTCATGTTGAAGGACCATGGTATAGGTGTGTCAACAAGGCACAGCGTAGAGCTTCTGTGTTGGCATGCAGGGGATACAAGCATGTGTGACCTGGGTGGGACAAGTGGCACTGAGGCGGCAGAAGGGATGAGCGTGGGTCCGGAGGAAGGATAAGGGTGGTCTGCGTGTGCTAGGGGGAGGCCTCGCACAGCCTCAGCCTCACCAGGCTCCTTCCCTTGCAGTACTTCATCGGCCGCCTTAAGGACCAGGAGGAGATGAGCCATGTCAGGAACCAGACCTCCCAACCCTCCTACCTGGAGTCCATGTTTGACAACTTCATGACTCTCTGCGCCATGGTGCCCCTCCTCATCTTCACCTGCCTCAACTCCTTCATCCACCAGCGGTGAGCCTTGCCCTGCCCTTGCCCCTGCCAGCCCCCATAGGGCTTCCCAGCCCTGGCCTGTCCTCCTGCCCCAGCACTGAGCCAAGCTGCAGCCTGTTCAGTCAGGTCAAAGGCAAAACACCCATCTCCTGTCGTAAGGTTTGGCTGCAATTCCTACAGGAGAGCTTGGTCTCAGCCTCACAGGCTTTTGCAGGGTGGGTTTTCCTGACTGATACCCTCTTTTGCAGGATTCCCCAGCAGATTCGCATCTCGGGCAGCCTGGTGGCCATTGGGCTGGTGTTTTTAGTCACAGCAATCATGGTGAAGGTCCCCATGGACCCTCTTCCCTTCTTTGTCTTTACCATGATCTGCATCGTCTTCATCAACTGTGAGTGGAGCAGGGGGGAAGGAAGGGGGCACAGCCCCATGGCTAGGGTTGATCCCTCTGGGAGGAAAGCATGAACCTCAGTGTGGGAGAGCCAAGGAGAAGGGGGGCTTGCCTTGCCTCACGGGGCAGGGGCCTTGGCTCCCCACAGAGATGTGGTCCATCCTTGCCATTGGTTTCTCATTTCTGCTTATCGTTTCCCTTCACAGCCTTTGGCGCTATTCTCCAGGGCAGCCTCTTTGGACTGGCAGGGCTCCTGCCTGCCAGCTACACAGCCCCCATCATGAGTGGGCAGGGCTTGGCGGGCACCTTTGCTGCTTTGGCGATGATCTTCAGTATTGCCAGTGAGTAATCCCTGCCCTGCAGGTGACAGGGCCTTCCCAGAGGACTGCTGTCACAGGATTTGCTGAGGTCATGCTGCAGGATTTCGTGGGAGATGACAGCAGGGCCTTGCTCCTCTCAGCCCTCATCATCTTTTTCCTTTTTTTCTCATCCCTCTCTTCCCGTGCCTTCAGTTGGTGCCCAGCAACCCGAGAGCTTCATCGGTTACTTCACCACGGCCTGTGTGGCGATCGTGCTGGCAATCTTCTCCTACGTCATTCTGCCTCGCATGGTGAGACTGTTGTCCTGGTGGGGAAGGATGTGGGGACATGGGACCTTTGCACATCCCAGCACAAGAACTGTGGCCCGCTAGTACCCCACCCGTGGCTCCTACCAGCCTCTACCTCCTGTAGAGGCTGGCAGCCCCTGGCAGCCTTGTTTCCGCATGCATGAATGAGTCCTCCATGCTGTCTCTCTCCAGGATTTCTTCCGATACTACTCCATGAAGGACAAGACAGAGTACCGTGTGTACAATGCAGAGCTGGAGACCAAGAGAGACCTGATTAAGAAAGGTGAGGGGCTGAGAGGAGGAAGAGAAAGGAAAAAGAGGAAGAGCTGAAAGAAAGAATGAGACAGAAGGACTGAATTAGATCTCAGTCTGCTAAGCGCTATTTGTGTCTCTCCCTGCAGATGAGAATGGGATGGAGCAGAATAACTCAAAGGTCATCCCTATCCACAACCCTGATGAGAAGCCCTCTGTCATTGCTATTTTTAAGAAGGTCTGTGTGTTGCCAGCAAGCCTTGCCCTGCCCTTCTTTTCAGAATGGGCAAAGGTGTAGGAGAGCATGGGGATAGGAGACCAGCCCAGCACTGGTCCCTTGCCCTGTGTTTGGTACCAGCATCTTTCTTTTATCTGCCCAGCTCTGGGTCATGGCTCTGTCTGTCTGCTTCGTCTTCACTGTCACCATCGGCATCTTTCCTGCCATCACAGCTAAGGTGTCCACTGTCCTCGGAAAGGGAAACACATGGGGTAAGTGTGCCAGGGATGGGGTGAGATAGGAGAAAGCTGGAAACAAGCTAAATGGGAGAAAAGAAAGTGGGGCTTGAAGTAGCAGGTATGTGTGGTGGGGTGACCCTGGCTGGATGCCAGGTGCCCACCGAAGCCACTCCAACACTCCCCTTCACAGCTGGACAGGTAGAGAAAATATGACGAAAGGCTCCTGTGTCAAGATAAGGACAGTGAGAGATCACTCACCGATTACTGTCACAGGAAAAACAGATTCACCTTGGGGAAAATTAATTTAATTTATTACCAATCAAATCAGAGCGGGATAATGAAAAATAAAACCTAAATCTTAAAATGCCTTCTACCCATCCCTCCCTTCTTCCCAGGCTTAACTATATGCACAATTTCTTTGCTTTTTGCCCCTACAACAGTGCAGGGAAACAGGGAATGAGGATTGTGGTCAGTTCACCACACATTTTCTCTGCTGCTGCTTCCTACTCAGGGGAAGGACACCTCCCACTCTTTCCCTGCTCCACTGTGGGGACCCTCCCATGGGAGACAGTCCTTCATGAACTCCAATGTGAGTCTTTCCCATGGGCCACAGTTCTTCATGAACTGTTCCAGCTTGAGTCCTTTCCATGGGGTGCAGTCCTTCAGGAACAGACCGCTCCAGTGTGGGTCCCCTGTAGGGCCACAAGTCCTGCCAGCAAATCTGCTTCAGCATGGGGTCTTCCACAGGCTGTAGGTGGATATCTGCTCCACTATGGACCTCCATGGACTGCAGGGGGACAGCCTGCCTCACCGTGGTCTTCACCAAGGGCTGCATGGAAGTTTCTGCTCTGATGTCTGGCTTCTCCCCCTCCTTTTCCACAGGCCCTGGTGTCTGCAGAGCTGTTTTGCTCACATATTCTCACTTCTCTCTCAAGCTGCAATTGCACATGTTGAGGTTTTTTTCCCCTTCTTAAGTATGTTACCCCACAGGCACTACCACTGTTACTGATGGGCTTGGCCTTGGCCAGCAGTGGATCCATTTTGGAGCCAGCTGGCATTGGCTCTGTGAGACATGGGGGAAGTTTCTGGCAGCTTCTCACAGAAGTTGCCCTTGTAGCTCCACTGCTACCAAAACCTTGCCACACAAACCCAATACAGTATGCCTGAAGGGAAGAGGAAACCACTGTGCATGATGGTTTGGGTGCAGACACCAGGCTAGCTGCGAGACGATTGCAGACTTTAGTGGGAAACTGGGAGAACCTAGACCTGAAAGACAGTCTCTGTGCAATTGGCATGCGGGGCTGGGGCATGCTGGACTCATTACTGCCCTTCTCCCCTTTCTGCAGGTCTCTACTTCATTCCTGTCTCCTGCTTCCTTCTCTTTAATGTCTTTGACTGGACGGGACGGAGTCTCACTGCCCTCTTCACGTGGGTAAGTGTGGGGCAGGGAGCAAATGCCCAGGCAGTCTTCATCCCCAAGTCCCTCAGCCAGGGCCCTCACTGGGGCTGCCACCTGTGCCTTGGAGCAGGAAGGAGGTGCAGAGCTGACTCCCGCCTTAAGTCCTAAGCAGAGATTTATGGGTCAGAGCTGACAACCACAGTGTTGTTCTGTCCTCCCACCTCTCTTTCAGCATGGCTTGGATGAAGCTGCCTTCTCTATTTCAGCCTCTTTGTAAACAAACCTTCACTCCAGCTATGCAAACAGCGAGACAGGACGGCGACGGGGAAGAGGGTGAAAGACAGGGCAGCCCAAAATAAAACCTCTGGCCTCAGCATAGGACACAGCTGCTTCAAAGACCCTTGTCCTCGGAGCAGGGCAGAGCCATGCCATATGGGTCACAGGGCTGTCCCCTGCCACATCCCCTTGCTTTCATCTCCCCAGGCTGGGTGAGGAAGGGGGCTGTCCTGTCTGGGTCTTTTCCTGCCCCTTCACCCACTCTCCAAGCACCGTTTCCCCCGTATTGTTCAGGCTGTTTGTTTAGAGAAGGTCTTCAGGACCATGTGCCATAGGGTCTGCCCAGGCCTGACTTCCCTGCAGCCTGGAGCTGCTTCTCCCCTGGCCATCACTGCTGGCTGCCCTTGGCCTTGGCCATGAGCCGCCTTGCCTGGTGTCCAGGCCGCAGTCTCTGTGGTGGGATGATCCAGCAGGAGATGTTTCCAAAACAAGTGTGTGGAAAGTCTGACTGCATGTGGTTCGGGCCTCATTTCCCTGGTTGGGGCCCCGCTCGCTCCTTTTCTCCTCCTCAAACAGGAGAGGCAGCTGTTGTCACCATTTTGCCCCATAGGCATGGCAGCTGGCCTAACCTCAGCTTCCTCCTGTGCTCATGAAGTGTCCTGTGGCCACGCCAGCCCAGCAGCTTCCAAAGCAGCTGGAGGGTCTCTCCTGACCTCAGACCAGTGAGCCCTGCGACCAGTGAGCCTGTCTCGTGCCAGGAGCTGCCTTGGTCCCAGCTGCAGGGACAACACAGCGGGATGGTGTCTCCTTATTTGTCCCAGTCTCAGTTGTCCAGGAACTCTGGTAGGATCCAAGGAGACTAACTTGGTCCATGAGTTTCCCACCACAGTCCAAAACAGCCCCAGCATAATCCCTTTCCCAGATTGCTGGATCTTGCCCCGCTTGGCTGGGGGATGGCGTAGGAGGCTGAAGAGCTGGTTAAAGCCCAGTTTGCAGGCACTAAGGTGCCAGAAGGGACTTACCTCAGCCAGCCTTGTCTTGCACGGTGGTTCACTGCATGAGCGTGCACAAGGCTCTCCTGCCTGTGTGCCCATTGCCAGCAAGGGCTTAGCAGTCACCCACAGACCCAGCTCAGTATTTTAGCCCTAGTGCTGCTGCTCTCCAAGTTGTCTGGGACAGGGCTTTCAGACCAGGCAGGACCTCCTTACCGCAGCAGGTGGTGATGCTCAGACTTCTTGTAGCAGAGAAAGTCTCTCAGCAACTTTTCCATCTCAGTGGCTCCTTTGCAGCCCTGGCACAGTAGGGACAGCCTCTGTATAGCTCCTGCCGGCATGCCATGGTATGGGGAATGCCCACTCCTCAGCTACCTGTGTTTTTCTCCCAGCCCGGGAAGGACAGCTGCCTCCTGCCAGCGATGGTGGTCCTCCGTGTCATCTTTGTCCCTCTTTTCATGCTGTGCAACGTGCAACCCCGTTACTACCTGCCTGTGGTGTTCTCTCATGACGCCTGGTACATCATCTTCATGATCTTCTTCTCCATCTCCAATGGCTACCTGGCCAGCCTCTGCATGTGCTTCGGGCCCAAGTGAGTAGGCGCTGGGGATGAGGGAAGGGTTGGTTACACCCCCAGATGACAGTCCAGCATGACTCCTGGAGTCTAGCTCTGCCCAGCTCTGGCATCTGGAGAAGGGGCCACATGCACAGAAGGGAATTGGCACTACCCCCAGTGTCCCATCTCCCAGGCTTGTGCCTCTGTATTCTAGGGATGAGGAAGCTATTTGGGCTCTCCGTTTTCCCCACTTGCCATGCAGGGGAAGGGACTGGATGCAGCAGGGATCTGGAGGGGAGCAAAGTGTGGCACAGCACCCACAGCAGGGTGAGCAGCCTTGCCCAGCACAGGTGGCATGAGGAGCCCAGCTGGGGCTCAGCCAGGCAGGATGCAGTGCACAGTGGCAGGAGTTGGAGAGGTTATCCCTGGTGCTGGGAGCTTCAGGGTTGCCTGCCTGATGCACTTTTTCTGTATGAGTCTGCAGTGTAGAGACAGACTCTTGGAGCCAAGGTGGATTTGCTTTTGGTGTTCCTCTACTGCAGAGGAGCCTCCCATCTCCACTGAACAGCAGGGCATGGGGCACGCATCCTGAGGATGGATCTGACACCTGTTTCTCCCCTAGGAAAGTGCTTGTGCACGAAGCAGAGACAGCTGGAGCTGTCATGGCCTTTTTCCTGTCGCTGGGCTTGGCCCTAGGAGCCGCAGTCTCCTTTCTGTTTCGAATTCTCATCTAGCAGAGGCACACAGAGGGTGCAGGGACACCAAGAGATGGCTCCGCATCCTCCTCCGAGGCCCTGGACACCTCAGCACTGTGGGAAAATAACACCTCATGCCTGTCCCTGCCAAATCACACTGCCACAGCAGACGTTACACCAGGGATGGTTCCACTCCTGCAGGGTTGGCCTGGCTCCTGCCACGCTCGGCTGTGTGACGCCTTCAGGCCTACGTGCCTTCTCCTTCCCCATGCTGTGTGTGTCGTAAGACCCCCAGGATCTCACAGAGGTCCAGCTGCCTCCCACACTGCATAACTTCCCCAGCTCAAGGCCAGAAGCCATTTTCAGCCTCTTCCTGTCTGACAGAATGGAAGGCTGGTATCCAGTGTTATTCCTTCTCTTGCCCCTGTCCCCAGTGCAGCTAGAGACTTGCTCTCCTCTCTTCCAGGGGGCCTGCAAATATCCCACACCCCTTCTCCTGCTGGTAAGACTTGCGAATAGGGAGGAGACCCCCAGCCAGCCTCACTACCCCTGCTCTCTGCTAGACGCACATCCCTCTGTGAAGTGGTATCCCAGGGGCATAGACATCTGTGTCCTGCCCACATAAAGACCCAATACTGTGGCCAGGCTGAGGGAGGAGGAGGTCTCCACACCCCACCTTCTCCCACTCTCCTTGCCTCTATTCCCTTTTGTGGTTTGTTTGGGGTTTTTTTGTGATTCTGCCATTGTTTTTCAGCCTCCTGGTTGTATGACAGGAGGTCCCACTGTGGGCTGCAAGAAGAGGCAGCAATTCCCTTCCCACCAAGGCTGCAGGGGGGGGGCCTCACCTCTCCCTTGGCTTTCCTGTCCCTTGTCTGTGTAAATGTGTCTGTACAGTTGCCGTTTTCTATAAAAAGACCAAAACGCTCCTTTGGGGGTGTGTGTGTGTCTCCATTGCCACAGGGGAGACGGGCTGTGGAGGTGCAAGGGCTGAACGGAGCAGGCACCAGCATTTCCTGGGCATCCTAGGGTGCTGTGTAGCCAGAATCAGATGTGGAAGTGTTGTGTGCATCCCTTGCACAGTCAGGACCAGCTGCAAGGACACAGACAGTGTGGAGGATCATTGAACCATGGAATCATAGAACAGTTTGGGTTGGAAGGGACCTTAAAAAGAGCATGAAGTTCCAACCCCCTGCCTTGGGCAGGGACACCTTTCACAAGGCCAGGTTGCTCAGAGCTCCATCCAGCCTGGCCTTCAACACCTCAAGGAATGAGGCATGCACAGCTTCCCTGAGCAACCTGTTCCAGCGCCTCGCCACACTCAGTAAAGAATTTTTTTCTCAATATTTAATATAAACCTACTCTCTTTTAGTTTTAATCCATTCCCCCTTGTCCTGTCACTTCATGTCCTTATAAAAAGTCCTTCTCCATCTTTCTTGTAGGTTTCCTTCAACTATTGGAATGCCACAATTAGGTCACCCTGAAGCCACCTCTTCTCCAGGCTGAACAATTCCAGTTCTCTCAGCCTTTCCTTGTAGGAGAGGTGCTCCATCCCTCTAATCATATTGGTGGCCCTCCTCTGGACTCACTCCAACAGGTCCATGTCCTTACTGTGCAGGGACCCCAGAGATGAATGCAGCACTCCAGGTAGGGTCTCATGAGAGAGTAGAGGGGCAGCATCACCTTCCTCAACCTGCTGGCCACACTGCTTTTGATGCAGCCCAGGACACAATTGGGTTTCTGGGCTGCAAGTGCGCATTGCTAGCTTATGTCCAGCCTCTTATCCCCAGGGATGCTGCCCTCAGGGTACACCGAGGGACCACCAGCACCTCTGATATGGAGGAGATTCACCTGCACATTTTGGGGTGCTATGACCTGCAGCACACCCACCTGGGAGCTTTCCTTGTGCCTGGGAACAGCCAGAGTGCCACCTCCTGATCCTGGTGGGGAACTACAAGAGCCTGCCAGCGGGACTCCCCCGTCCCTCTGGCCCACATCATTCACAGCCATCACCTCCTCAGCATCCCCAGGCATCAGAAACTGGGGCTTGGGCACCCTGATCCCACTTCCAGCTTCCTTTGCTAATCAGGCCTGTGTGCCCATAGCCTCAACATAGAATCACAGGACTGGAAGGTAACAGGTTGGGTCAGGTTGGAAGGGAACACAGTGGGTCACCTGGTCCAACCTCCCTGCTCAAGCAGGGTCATCCTAGAGCACATGGCACAGGATTGCGCCGAGATGGTTCTTGAATATTTCCAGTGAGGGAGACCCCACAACCCTCTGGGTAATCTGTGCCCTTGCTCAGTCACCTGCACAGTAAAGAAGTTCCTCCTCATGTTCGGTGCAACTTTCTGTGCATCAGTTTCTGCCCATTGCCCCTTGTCCTATTGCTCTGTACCACCGAGCAGAGCCTGGATCCCTCCTCTTGGCACCCTCCTTTCAGATATTTATACACACATTGATGAGGTCCCCTGTCACTCATTTCTTCTCGAACTGAGCAGGCCCATCTCACTCGGCCTTTCCTCACAAGAGATGTTCCAGTCCCCTCATCATCTTTGTTGCCCTCCACTGGGCCTGCTCCAGCAACTCCATGTCTCTCTTTTACCAAGAAGCCCAGAACTGAATACAGCACTCCAGATACAGGGATGATAAGACTTATCTTACTGCTTCCCTTAGACCCTGGAAATACAGCCTATCCAAACTGGTTTGCAATGGGAACACGGACCTGCCAGGCGCTCCATCCCCGTCCCGTCCCTCTTGTCCCCTCCCTTCTCATCCTCTGGGCTCCAGTGCATCCCGCTTTAGGACAGCTGAGCTACACGGCCCGCGGCCTCACGGGGGGCTGCAGGAAGCAGCTGGGGCGCTGCAGCCCCCCGGTTCCCTGCCCCAGGCCCGGATCCGGGAAGGCGCCGCCGCCAACACCTCCGTGACCTCTGCGGAACGCTCTGGAACCGCCTCGCACCACTTAGCACCGAACACTGCGTTCCTCCGCGGCGGGGCGCGGAAAATAGTCCCTCGCCGGGGCGCTCGGAGGGCCGAGGACCGCGGCACCGGGACCCTCCGAGCGCCGCGGAGAGAGACAGCGGGGTGCTGCGGACAGGAGGCAGCATGGCGGCAGTATGAAGCTGAGCACTGCGTGCCCGCCCCCACCATGGCCGCCGCTAAACGGCAACGCCAATGCCTCCGATACACCATTTATCTGCGGCGCGCTGACCAAGGCCCCTTTAAGGCGGAAAGATATGGCGTGCGGTGAGGCATTCCTCTCCGTGGCTATAAAAGACGGCCGGTGGAGGGGCAGGTCTTTCACCCGTCCCTCAGACCTCAGACGGTAAGGGCAGAGCGGCGGGCGGGGTGGGCCCGGGGCCCCCGCCGCCCTACCCCCAGTGCTGATGGCCTGAACACGGGCTGTGTTTGCCTTGTAGATGCCCGAAAAAGTGCAGCACGATGAGGAGGATGCGGAGACCTTCGCCTTCCAGGCGGAGATCGCCCAGCTCATGTCGCTTATCATCAACACCTTCTATTCCAACAAGGAGATCTTCCTGCGGGAACTCATCTCTAACGCCTCTGACGTGAGCCCAGGCGAGGGGTGGGCTCCTTCCTCTGCGGGGAGGCCCGGGTTGCGGACTGGTGTCCTGCTGGGGGCGCCCAGAGAGAGGCCTTGGCCTGGGTGTCCTGGGGGGCCGTGGTGATGATCTCCCTCTCCCCTAGGCCCTGGATAAGATTCGCTATGAGAGCCTGACCGACCCCTCAAAGCTGGACAGCGGGAAGGATCTTAAGATTGACATCATCCCCAGTCCCCGGGACCGAACGCTCACCCTGGTGGACACTGGCATTGGGATGACAAAAGCGGATCTGATCAACAACTTGGGCACTATTGCCAAATCCGGGACCAAAGCCTTCATGGAAGCCCTGCAGGTGGGTTGCGTTTGACTGCATGGGTTTCCTGGGGCCTGGGACACAGGCTTGCACTGGTGTACAAATACTAATTAATAAATAAATAATAAAAAGTCTTTGCTGCCTTGTTTGCTGTGGGAGCTGTTTGCCTGCCCCAGTATGCTTCCCCACCTTTCCAGCAGCAGGGAGGAGCTAAGGGTAGGGCTGGCTACCTGTTGGCGCTTGCCTGTTTTTCTCTGTGTGCTGACCCAGTTCTTTGCTGCTGTGAATCAGTTGTGGACATTTTCCATCTCTTCGCTGGTCTTATCAATTGCTCTACTTTCACAGGCTGGTGCAGACATCTCCATGATTGGGCAGTTCGGTGTGGGCTTCTATTCTGCCTATCTGGTGGCAGAGAAGGTGGTAGTCATTACCAAGCACAATGATGATGAGCAGTATGCTTGGGAGTCATCAGCTGGGGGCTCCTTCACTGTCCGAACTGACCACGGTACGTATTGTACAAAAAAACAAATACATTTTTCTGCTAGAAGCGCCCCTTTTCCCGGTGCTCCATAGAGTTGTGCTCCATTGTCAGTCACACTAGTTAATCCTGGGTATCCTGTAGTGTTTAGGCCTGAGGAGCTGGTCGCAGTTGCTCTCTGCCCTTTAATGCTATGCCCTGAAATCCTGATGTTTCTCTCTTCTCCCTTCAGGTGAACCCATTGGACGTGGCACCAAAGTGATCCTGTACTTGAAGGAGGACCAGACCGAGTACTTGGAGGAGCGTCGTGTCAAAGAAGTGGTGAAGAAGCACTCCCAGTTCATTGGCTACCCCATCACGCTCTATGTACGTAAGGAAAGGACAGTGGGGACCCACTGGAAAGCTGGAGGCGGGGGTGGGTGATGTTAAGAGCAGGAACACAGAGAAGGCCCAGAGCATGATCTCTTCCATTCCTTTCCATAGTTCTTGGCTGCTGGGTACTGAGCAGTGGTGCTCCCAGTTTCTTTTGAGGCTGGGGGTTATTGGACATGAAGGGTATCCAGCTACGATTTTGGCCTTTGAGCTGTACAGCTGGAGGTCATCTAAACCAGCCACAGAGGAAGGAGGGTTTCCTGCTGCTTGTCTCATTCTCTCAGGCACAGCTTTTGGTTGTATGAGGAGGGATTCTGAGGGCTGGTTCCAATAGAAGCTTTGGCTACATGTTGCCGTTGTTAAGCTTTGGAGGACACCCATTTTTCTCATCTGGAGAAAAATGAATTCTGGTAAGAGTTGCTTGGGCCTAACCTATTTCTTGTACCTTTCTCCACAGCTGGAGAAGGAGCGCGAGAAAGAGATCAGTGATGATGAGGCAGAGGAGGAGAAAGACAAGAAGGAAGAGGAGGAGTCAGTGTCCAAAGATGAGGAGAAACCCAAAATTGAGGATGTGGGCTCTGATGATGATGAGGGAGACAAAGGCAAGAAGAAGAAGACCAAGAAAATCAAGGAGAAGTATATTGACCAGGAGGAGCTGAACAAGACCAAACCAATTTGGACCCGCAACCCTGATGACATCACCCAGGAGGAGTATGGCGAGTTCTACAAAAGCCTCACCAATGACTGGGAGGACCACTTGGCTGTCAAGGTGGGGGCTTGACTACCCTGCCTTCTGGGGAAAGACAGAGAGTCCCTTTCTAGCCCATATCGAGAGCCTCATGTGCCGCATGTCGTTGTGCCTCATTGGGACTGAGGGATCCCAGGCCACTTGGTGGTGTGGCAGCCTGCACTGTGACTCCCATGCAGGTGGAGGGGTTGGCAGTGCCCATTTGTAAGCAGGACAGGAGGGTGTTGGGCCTCAGAAGCATGACTCCTCTGTCCAAGCCTGCTGGATGCCAGAGAATCTTGGCACCTAGGGGACAGTGAGGCTGAGGAGGGGGAAATCCAGGTTGCTTGGATGCTGGAGACCCTGCTGTGCACCTGTGCCAGCCCCAGTGCTGAGGAGCCTCCCTACAGTGGGTATTGGGGAAAGGGATAGAAGTGAAGCACCCCAGCAACTATTTCTTTCCTGGTTCCACAGCA